TGCATTCTCTTAATGAATAGAATGATTTGTTCTAATGGTGTTTGTAAATAGGATCTCAAGTCCGCATCTTGTACAGCAATTAACCACTAAGAAAAATATATGCAGTGTATTATTTGTTGAAACTGTACTTCCAATTTGATTTGAAACAGTCTCATTGCTATCTGTTTATCAATAAAATTTTGAAAAAAAATAAATAAAAATAAAATAAAATAAAAGGCATTACTCAAAAAAAAAAAAAAATCAGATAAATCCAAATGGAAAGTCACTGTGCTCCACGAGCACATCAGAAGGGTCTACCACGGCAAGCTGGCAGAGACATGGCAACTGAACCAGTGTGGAACGCTGTGATTGACGCCAGAGCCAAACAAGAACATTAGGAGGAGAGGTGATAAATTTGAAATAAGGCCTGTAGGTCGTTTACTAGTACTATAGCAATGTTAACTTTCTTGTTTTGATAATTTTAGTATGCTTATGCTTATTTAACTTGTTAACATTGAAGAATCTTCATAAAATATATACAGAAGCTCTATATCACTTTTGCAAGTCTTCTATAACTGTTTCAAAATAAAAGGTTTTTAAAAGTTGGCGTTTATTGTGCCAGCCTCACAGGTTCGGGTATACCCACTGTGGGGAGCAGCTTTTCCAGTTTTCTTTATCTATGGGAAGTGCATTATATCAAGTGTATGTCCACAGTAATACTGCTTAAGTAAGCCAGGGTAGCAGGGCAGGAAACGAGGGGGTACGTTTGAAGGTTTAAATTCTGTGTAATTATATACTGCCAGCAGGAACCGGGAAGTGGGGCTCAGTGTAAGCGTCATTTGTGATCTGCACACTTACACTCCCTGAGATCTGCTCCACTTTGAGCAGCCAACCTGCAGATTTAAGGAAATACTCTGTAGCCCTCATGCTGAACTTCAGAGAAAGCCCGAACCACGTTAAAAGAGAAATGTGTTGCACCTGTGATCGTGATGGCCTCCTTAACACCATCTAAAATGGGACCTGGGAACTTCCCCAGATCCATCATAAGGAATTAAATGCCATGACCCTCGCCCCCGAAATTCTGCATAGGAGAGGCTGACAGCACAGTGATCAGAGAGGAAGGAGGTCTATGAGCAGTGGCTTCCAAATGTCTTTACCTCAATTTATAGTAACAGCTATTTTATTTCACATTATAAACACGTACGTAATATGCATAAATACACACATCTTTATATTGCTAACATGTAAGTTTTATGCACATATGAGAATTGTGACATGTTCTATCCTATCGTGGCATAATCTGTTTCATTCTATTTCAAATTCTACCCACACCTCACTTAAATTATTTTGACTGTCCATCTCAGTGGTAGCAACTTGCAGTTGGAAAAGGACTGGATGGGGGTCTTCAGGGCCTGCAAATGAGCCATCTGAGGGGGGGCTTGGCATGCGGGTCCCCAGACAAGTACCTTGATGGCACAGACACATAGCTTGCTCTCATTGAGTTCTCAGAGGAGAAAAGTTTGAGGAATTATGAGATGTTGTCACAATACAGAACACGGCATTATATAGTCTTGCTCAGAATAACAAATTTCCAAAATCATATTTACAGAAATCACATTTTAGGGCATAATTCAAAATGTTTAATCATCCTCATATTCTCTTTTTTTAATGTATTTGGTACAGGGTCTCACTACACAGCTCAGACTAGTAGTGATTTTCCTGTTTTCAGCCTCCCCAGTGCTGGGATTACAGGCATGCACCACCACACCCAGACTCAGTTACAGGCTCAGTGTGCCCCGGGGATGGAGCCTGTGTGGCATGCGGGACTAGGGATTGAACCCTGGTCCCTGTGCTTGCCAAAGCAGACACTTAATCTGCTGAGCTATCTCACTGGCCCATACTTTCTTTTTGACACAGCTCTGATTCAGATCTTGAATGTCCTCCATAAGCCCGTGTGTTGAAAGTGTTGTGATGGCCCTGGTGCCATTAGAAAAGGGTGGAAGCTTTAAAAGCCAAAGCCTACTTAGAGGAAGTTAGGTCATTAGAAGTGTGCCCTTGAAGAGTTATGGGGCCTCCTGCCCTTTCCTAACTCTCTTTGCCTCCCAGCTACCATAGGCTACCATAGGCTACCATAAGGTAGCTATGCCTTCCACCATGCCTTCCTGCTATGATATGCTTCTACATCACAGAACCATAGCAGCAGGGCCAGGAAACCATTCACTGAACCCTCAGCAACCAAGAGCCTAAGTAACATTGCCTCCTTATAAGCTGCACACCTAGAAGGTTGATACAGACACGTTGGCAGTGAGAGGGGAAGCTGGAAGCAGAGTTACCGTAGGAAGAGCTGTTGAAGAGTTCAATGTTGAAGAAGGCATAGTCTCCACCAGTCATGCCATGTCTGTGTGCTGCCAGCATGATGCTCCGGATGGTGTCCCCACTGGCACACATGATCACCACTGGGGAAAGAAACAAAGAGTGCACATGAGATGCCACCACAGCAGGCAGCAAGCACAGCAGAGCCGGGGGAGAGAGGGAGAGAGAACAGACCCCGCACTTGGCACTTAGAAGGCCTTGAAGTGCTGCCTTCTCACAAGCTGTCTATTACAGCAACCTCCTTGTCTGCATGGCACCCTCGCCTAGTCCCCAGTGGAGGTCTGAAGCTGTGGGTAGTGCCAAACCCTCTGGGTACCATGTTTTCCTACACATACATATACTAACATCACCAGTGGGGGGAAACAGACTCACCAGACTCCTGACAGAACACGCCATGGACCAGAAACATCCAACAGGCAGCACACATCCAGTCAGGAGGAAGAGGCTGCAAACCCAACTTGGGAAATAGCAGAATAACTGACCTGTATGCCACCACAAGCCTCCTCATTTTTGTGGTTCTCTACCACTGAACCACAGTGCCAGCCTGTCTTCTTACTTTTGGAGACAGAGTCTCTAGTTGTCCGGGTTGGCCTCACGCTTGTGATCCCCTGCTTCAGCCTCCTGAGTGCTGAGATTACTGACATATGCTGCCCTTCTGGATGACGTGTGCTGCCCTTCTGCCCAGCCTATATTCTTTAAAATGGTCCTTTTCCCATAATGTTAAATGAAATAAACAAGACACATAAGCTTAAATACTGCATGCTTTCTCTTACAAAAGAAATCCAAAATTAAAATAAATCACAAAATAGGAGACAGATGATAGGTGACAGGCAGATAGCACCATTGTGAAAGAGAAGGTGACCAAGAGATGCAGGAGAGCAGACAGAGGAGGCGAAGGAGATTTAAAAATATAATTAAAGGCTGGCTAGAGAGCTCAGTGGACTGAGCGCCTGCTTAGGCAAGCACAGGGACTGGGGTTTGGCCCCAGCACCACAGGTTGCGCTGGCCCCACACTGAGATGGTGATTGAGACTGGGCATGGTGGCGCATGCCTGTAATCCCAGCACTGGGAAGGCTGAAAACAGGAGGATCACCATGAGTCCACGCTGCATAGTAAGACCCTGTACCAAAATACTATAATGAATAATGAATGAAATCATTCCATGATGAATGTAACTATGCATGGCAAACATGTAACAATAAAAATTTAAATTAAAAAAAGAAGTGAGAGTGAGTAGGCCATCTAAGGGGCAGCTGAACTATGAGGGCCCTGCCTCATGAACGGGTTCAGCCACTCACCTACCTGTGGGTTAGTGGGTTATGACGAGAAAAGATTGCTTATATGAGCCAACTTAGCTGTCCTGTATGTGCCCCTTTGCCACACAGAGCTCTGCAGTGCCTTGGGATTCCACAGAGTCCACACAGCAAGGAGACTTCACCAATGTCACTCTCAGCCTTGGACTTCCTGGACTCCAGAACCATGAGCTAAATAAACCTCTGAACTGTATTTTAAGATTAAATAAATAAATAAGAAAATGATCAGTTCATGGAAAGCAAAGACAAGCATTAAAAAAAATATTCTAGACTGAAAGAGATTTAAAAGAAGAGCAGACTAAATGCAACATATGATACTGAGTTGTATTCTGGATCTAAATAAATAAAACTTTTATTTAAAAGGGCATTAATAAGACAACAGGTGGGATTGGACTAAGGTTTATAAATAAAATAATAAGTGTTTGCATTCAAGTTCATTTTCGTCACTACACTGTGGCTACATAAGTCAACATCTTTTTTCTTAATACACTTTCATTTAAATTTTTCAGGGTAAAGAAGTATAATCCTGTGCCTACTTTCAAAAATGATTCATTAGGGGTCAGGGAGATGGCTCAGTAGAATAAGCGTGTCCCTGGCAAGCACAAGGGCCTGAGTTCAAGCCCCGATTCCGGAAAAAAAAAAAATGATTCAATAAGCAAAAATCTGATTAAGGCTGTATAAATGTTTTTTATATCTTCTTATACCTTTTCCAAAATTATGAAAATGATTTCAAGGTAAAGTTTTTAAAAATTAAATAAATCTAGATTTTTCCCAATATAAGACCGTGAGGACTGTCAACTGTTTTCCATACTTAATAAGATGTTTTTTGAAAAAGCAAATTCAGTGGCTTCGGGGAAATCATCCTCTGGCAAATCAGTGAGTGTCATGGGCTGGCCTGGTCCTAGGCAAACTATTATCGTCTGCATTATGCTGAAGTTTTCTCAGCAGACGGGGGAAGCAAACAAGATCCTAGGTTGCCTGCCCCCACCCCCTGTTCTCTCAGTTTGTGTCCACGCTGTCAGATCTGAGAGGTTTAAGCAGCTCCGGGGGATTGTCACCTGCCACCTACGAATGACACGGGGGAGTGAAGCAGGGACTTGGACACTGCCCAGTCGCTGCTGATGGTTTGCAGGCTCCGCTGTCCCTGCTCTACAGCAGGATCACTGTATTCTCTGCCTACGCACTGTGCAAAGAAGAGACTTCATAGCCCTGGGTGCTGTCGAGCATGTTATCACCATGCACGCCAGCCCTCCAAAATGTATACGTGCTGTGCTAAAGCGTGGGTGCTGAAAGACATAGAACAAGCGGCAGGCTGTGCCTGAGTGTCTCTGGCAACCTGCGTGGAAGGCTCAGCTCTTGATATTCCATTTATGGCACACAGTAACGGAGAGTGTTAGGGCACAAAGCTGACACTTCCTACTACAAAAGGGCTTGATGTTCAGGGCAGTAATCCCAAAGAACAAAGTTTTGAAGACTACAAAACCCCTCAAAGGCCTGTGAATATTGGAGCTAGTGTTGTTTGTGTTTTGATAGTATAGTTACATATTGGAGATAAATAATGAAATTTAAAGATGCCTTAGTAAGGAAACTCTCAAAGAAACTCTGGATTGTTCATTATGGCTTAGACCCTTGTGTTAGTTCTAATTCAATTCTAGCTCCTTCAGTTAAAAAAAAAAAAAAAAAAGAGCCAAGGAGTTCCACAAAACAACCAACAAAGGTCAAGGCCGAACATGTTTAATAGCATGGATTCCAAGAGGGATCACCTCCAGGAGGATCCAGGGAGCTCTGGCTGCCTGGCCAGCAAACAGCCCGTAGCATTTTGTGATCAGCTACGTGTAGCCCAGAGTCCAGTTCTCAGTCCTCATGAGCAGGACTTGATTCTTGCCATCACACAGAGAACAGAGTCACTGCTTAGGGGAAGATTCTTGATAGCACACATCAAATACTCACAGATCATCTGGACTTCAGATTACCTGAGTTCCATAGGGACTAGAAGAATCATAAACACATCTATGCCAACATACCTTATACCCTGGGTACAAGACCTATCAGACCAACAAAAAGCAATAGAATGCTAGTGAAGATAAAACTCAAAATTAGGGAGGCCAACTGGAGGATTCAGGTGTTGGAAAGCACTGGGCATTGATGACCCTGCACAACTATCTGAGAGATGTACCTGACCGGGGACTGAATAGGCAATGGCTCAGAGGCAGAGTACAACCTTCCCTAGGTCCAGACAGGCTCAGCCCAACACTTCCTTCTGTTCTCTCCCCATCACCACCACCACCACCAAACCCTTCTGATAGATACATTCTATTTTAAAATGTTAGTAATCCCTGCTCAGACTGAGCGAGAGTGTCACAGCACCATCTGGCCAAGAACACTTTGATTACTACATGTCGTACTTTGTGTTGACCATGTAGTTTATATTCAAATGGAAATATTGATTTCATACAGTCTATCAAAACATTTAAGCATTGGCCAGATAGCTCAGCAGATTAAAGCACTTGCTTAGGCAGATGCAAGGGTAGGGGGGTTCGATCCCTGGCCTGCAGTGCTGGCTCACCCCCGGGGCACTCTGAGACAGCAACTGAGTCTGGGTATGGTGGCACATGCCTGTAATCTCAGCACTTGAGAGGCTTAAAAACAGGAAGGATCACAAGTCCGATCTGTGTTTCTAGACTCTGTAGTCCCTGTACTAAATACATTTTTAAAAAGTTTAAGATGGTTTTCAATGAAATAGCTTGCTCTCCCTGCCAATGTTTCACAGTGTATACAATAGCTACTTTAACTAAAAATTACAATAATAAGTATAGATAGAACAATACAACTCTTAAAAGGACAAGTGGAGAAGATGAAATCGTGTGTGGCATGCTCTAGAAAACTCTACTAGCTACTAGCACTTACCCTCTGTCAGTAAAACTGACATAAAGACAACATCAACTAATCTGCAAACTGTGTAAGTAGTGGCCACTTAGACAGTTTCTGTTGTATCTAAATGTACCTAAGTGCATAAATATTAATTTTGGATCAAACTGTTAAACTACTAAAATAAGTGATTATAGTATAATGCTAAATTTCTGGTTATACTGTTCTTTGTCCTGATCTTTCTTTCTTTCTTTCTTTCTTTCTTTCTTTCTTTCTTTCTTTCTTTCTTTCTTTCATTTGTTCTTTCTTTTTTCTTTCTTTCTTTCTTTCTTTTCAAGACAGAGTCTTGCTATGTAGTTCAGACTGGCCTTAAACTCACTACATAGCCCAGGCTGGCCTCAAACGCTCAGCAATCCTCTTGCTTTAGCCTCCCCAGTGCTGAGATGATAGGAATGCACTACCATGCCTGGCTTGTCCTGCTGTTTTAGCCTGCGGTGTTCCATGCCATCCTTCCCCATCTGGCTGCCACACTGTGCTCTATAAATGTCTTCTCACTATTCAACATGTTCTTCCAATCACTTAGTTAAAGGAAGAAAGGTTTATTTAGCTCACAGTTCATAGAGGTTTCAGTCCATAATTGACTGGCTCCAAGGCAGGGTGTTACATGGTGTAGAGGCAACAATTCATGGTGGCAGAAGACAGCAGAAGTAACAGCCAAGCTTCATAGCATCTTTCTGCCCCTTTTATACTCTAGCTAGGCCGCTGGGATTATCACAGTAGCAAACCAATCACTGAACTGATCACAAACCCTTAATCCCAGCATCACACACTCTAGATTTAGAGTGTCTTACAACCACATGAGACTTTGCATGGACATCTAGACATAACCCATGTACCCCTCA